TACTGCTCAAGATCTTCATGAGGATGTATTCAGATAATGGCTGTTCTTTCTCCTGAGAGATACAGTCTTGAAGATTCTTACAAACTTTCACCAACAACAAATGTGCAGCAGACAACAGAAAATAGTGTAATCTACTCAAATATTTCTTCTCATCTAGACTTTCTATTCTATTATGGCCCCCCTTTTCTGTATCCTTCCCAATGGACATGTATTTTCCATTTTTCAATTAGTTTTTCTTTAACAGAAGTACCCTTTTTCCACCAGACTTCGTGAATCACCAGAGGGAGTTAAATGTATCCAGCACTCTTTTTCTTCTGTCTTTTCATCATTAAGACCAAAAGGAATGAAGGAAGTGGGAGGGGGGAAGAAACTCTGAAAAATAACCTAACTTGCTGTAAGCCTTCATTGCTCTTCTTCACTGGCACATCTATCAGAGCTCTGTTTCCTCTGTGGTTCTACGTGGCTATTAAAAAGTTCCTGAATCAAACACTGTCCACCTACAGGAAGCCACAACTAAGAGGAAGAAAATAAACACCAGAAATTGCTGAGTCACTGTTCCCTTCATTTCCAGTGATAGTCACATCTCCAAGATCAGTTATCTCTGCTTCTTCCAATTTTATTTTCTAGAATTATTTCCTACTTATAAACTATTCTAAGCAATGGTGAAATGCTTACAGGCTTGTGGGAATGACTTTGTGGTATATATGATGGTCATATACCTCAGCAGTAATCCCTTCAGCCTTAAGATTGTCCTCACAGTCAAACTGTTAGCCTTTGACAGAATGAAGGTATGAGCAACTCCAGAGAAGATGTGGCTTCACTCAATAGGATAAATACAAACTAAAATATAAGGTACCAATCTTCCCCTACATATACCCATCAGATTTGCAAAGATTAAAAAAAAAAAAGAGGGAAAAAATCAGCTGCAACATAATAACCCTTGTTATTTAAGGTAGGACTATATTTTGAGGGCAATCCTTTGTAGGAAAAAATTTGGTTAAGAACAATCCACCTTGATCCAATATTCTAGGAATATACTCTCTAGATATAGTTGGGCACGCTCAGAATAATGTGCAATGGATATCCACTGATGCACCACTTTCTTAGCAGCCACTAAAAAACAATGAGATAGCTCCGTAGATAGGTAAATACTTTGAAATTTTTCAAGTGAAAAAAAGATGCAGAACAGTGTGTATAGTAGGTAATCATTTTTGCACAAAAACGGACATATACATAACACGGTAGTCTGTCGTTATCCACAGATTCACTTTCCACAGTTACAGTTACCTGTAGCCAATGGTGGTCCAAAAATAGGTTGAGTATAGCACAACAGACTTTGGGAGAGAAAGACCACATTCACATAATTTTTATTACAGTATATTGTTATCATTGTGCTATTATTGTTGTTAACCTCTTTCTGTTTCTTATTTATAAATTAAATTTCACCATAGATATGTACAGATAGGAAAAAACAGTATATGTAGGGTTTGGTACTATATACATGGTTTCAGGCATCCATCAGAGGTCTCGGAACGTATCTTCAGCAGATAAGGGGGAGACTACTACACACATAAAACTTGTAAACGTATGGAACATCTCTAGAAGGATGAAGAAAAGGTGATGAGTAATTGTATGGATATAAGTTGGGTGACTGAGAAGCAAGGGTAGGGAGATTTACTTTTCACTGAATTTTTATTTTCTTGTTCCTTTTGATTTCTTACTTTGTCCATATATTCCCTATTGGGAAAATTAATGCTGACTCAAAACTCAACTGAAAAATGAGTACCTATCTCATAAGCTTAGCATGAAGACTGAGTAAGGTTAGGCACACAAAATGCTTAGAACAATGCCAGGCACATAATAAGCACTATTACTACTTCATTCCGCCATGCTGATATTTAAATCATCAATATTCTCAGAAAAATCAAATGAGAAAATTTTTACTGTATAGACATCCCCATTGTTACCACCAAGTGCACAGAATGAGTGCTCCCTTTGCCCGAGAGGGACTGTCTTAACAAGTGATAGAAACATTTATGGAAATAACTAATATATGGGTATCTGATATGGTTATCATTTAGAAACTTATACCTTACAGAAAAAGCACAGTTACAAAGGTCTTAAGAATTTGCTTAATTACATAAGGAAAGTCTTGAGTACTTATGAAAGCAGAGGAAACAAATACTATGATACATGTGACTGTAAATAATAAAAGTCTAATGAAAAAAACCTTAAAAATGCCTGGATAAATGAGTATCACCTTGAATAATAACCCAACTATTATTTCTTAATCACTATAAAACAACTGGGAAACACATTGTATTTTTATATTTAGGCTCCCTCTTCTTCTTTTTTAAAATTTATTTTTTAATGAAGCAGGCTTAGAGGTACCCTACTCTTCTTCTTCTTCTTTTTTTTTTTTTGTAGAGACAGAGTCTCACTTTTTCACCCTCAGCAGAGTGCAGTGGAGTAGCTCCAGCAACCCCCAACTCCTGGGCTTAGGCAATTCTTCTGCCTCAGCCTCCCAAGTAGCTGGGACTACAGGCGCCCGCCACAACGCCCGGCTATTCCTTACTCTTCTTTATAGAATGGCTCTCAGATTTTGTTTCTAAGAGGTGTTAGAGGTATTTGGTTGAATTTAACTCACAGGTGTGTCATGATCTAAACTCTGTTTGAACAAACATACTCTACAAAAGTACACATCTTACACAGTGGCACAATTCTTAAGATCTATTTTTTTTTTTTTTTTTTAGAGACAGAGTCTTACTTTGTCACCCTCAGTAGAGCGCTCTGACATCACAGCTCACAGCAACCTCCAACTCCCGGGCTTAGGCTATTCTCTTGCCTCAGCCTTGTGAGTAGCTGGGACTACAGGGGCCCGCCACAACACCTGGCTATTTTTTGTTGCAGTTTGGCCAGGGCCAGGTTCAAACCCGCCACCCTCAGTATATGGGGATGGCGCCCTACTCACTGAGCCACAGGTGCTACCCATTAAGATCTATTTTTTTAAAGTAGTTCTATTTTGAGACAAAGAATCTCACTCTGTTGCCCAGGCTAGTGTGCTATGGTGTCAGTCTACCTCACAGCAACCTCAAACTCCTGGATTCAAGGGATCCTTCTGCCTCAGCCTCCCAGTAGCTGGGACTAGAGGTGCCCACCACAACACCTGGAGAATTTTTCTAATTTTAGTAGAGATGGGGTCTTGATCTTCATCCAGCTGGTCTGGAACTTCTCAGCTCAAGGAATTTTGCCACTTCAGCCTTCCAGAGTGCTAGGATTACAGGCACTAGCCGTTGTGCCTAGCCAAGATCTATTTTTAAATATAGAATACCCACATCACATTTATAGTCTATACAGGAATTTTATAACTTATAAATTTATATAGGAATCTCTTTCTACCTAGTCACCTGGGCTGTTTTAGAACTATATAAAATCTTTTAACAGCTGAGAAATGGTCATAAACAGAAAACAAAGATACAAAGAACTTAAATGGGTTAATGGAAAAGTTTTAAAACAAGTGCATTTTTTAAAAACTCAACTTTCCAACTTTTTTTTTCTTGGTTCACACTAATTTCAGATCTTTCAAGTTTTTTTTTTTTTTTTTTTTGAGACAGAGCCTCAAGCTGTCCCCCTGGGCGGAGTGCCGTGGCATTACAGCTCACAGCAACCTCCAACTCCTGGGCTCAAGCGAGTCTCCTGCCTCCGCCTCCCAAGTAGCTGGGACCACAGGCGCCCGCCACGACGCCCGGCTATTTTTTGGTTGCAGCCGTCATTGTTGTTTTGGCGGGCCCGGGCTGGGGATTCGAACCCGCCACCTTAGGTGTATGTGGCTGGCGCCTTAGCCCATTGAGCTATAGGCGGCGAGCCGATCTTTCAAGTTTTAAAATGCTAGGATTCTGGTGGCACCTGTGGCTCAGTGAGTACGGTGCCAGCTCCATAACCAAGGGTGGCAGGTTCGAACCTGGCCCTGGCCAAACTGCAACAAAAACATAGCTGGGCGTGTGGCGGGCACCTGTAGTTCCAGCTACTCTGAAGGCTGAGGCAAGAGAATCGCCTAAGACCAGGAACTGGAGGTTGTTGTGAGCTGTGACGCCCACAGCACTCTAACCAAGGGTGATAAAGTGAGACTATGTCTGTTAAAAAATAAACAAATAAATAAAATGCCAGAATTCTAAGGCTATAACTTTACAACATCATTGCTTCTATCATCTAGTTTCTTGCCTTTATGGTATGAGTGATTTATTACAAATACCTGGTAATGCTATGATTGAAAAATTTTTAGAACAAGGTCTAGCAAATTATGGTACATGTCAAATACAGTTTGCTGCCTCTTTCATAGATGGGCCAGAAATGGGTTTTACATTTTGTGAGGGATGTAAGATAAAACAAAGATGACTATGTGATAGAGACCTTACATGGCTTGTAAAGCCTAAAATATTTTATTACTTTGCCCTTTATGAAAAAGCTTGCTGACTCTGATGTAGGATAATATTTATTATAGTTGACTCAGTCACTTCAGATAATTCCTGTCAATGAATGAGAAGTTCATTGCAAATCACCAAAATCCACAATAATTAAAAACAGAAAAGCCTTTATCAAGAGACTTGCTCTCTTCATGCAGCATAACACTTAGTTCCAATAACCAATTAAATCATTTCTTGGAACACAAGACATGATGGAAGCTCAAGTATCAAACTAGCACTACCTGAACAATAGTGCTTCAGTTATAATAAGCTAGTCCACACAAAGTGGTGGTATACAGGAAACCCTTTTCTCTCTTGGGAATTCAAACCAACTGATTAGTGAAATAAGTGCTAACCATTTTCTCATATTGTACCTTCCTTATTTCACTTGTCTAAAAGAAATAATTCTTTGATTTCTCTGAAGTCTACCCCAAGAGAGTTAAATACATTTAAAAATCTTTCATGTGTTTTCTAATTAATTTTTCTTACAAAGAGTTTTTTCAAAGCATTCAAAAGAAAACAAACTCAGTAACTCACTCCAGAGCTGGTCTCAGAACTCTGACTTTTAATGCTTCTAATATTCGATTTAACTCCACAAATGGTTCTTTCTGACTTGGGTCTACAGAAAGACCAGATTCCTAAAAAATAGAAAAAACTTGTTAGTAATAATCAGGATAAGGAGTAGTCAAAGTATATTCTAGACTATAAAACATGGGGCAAACCATTAAAGATAATTTCCATTTAACATGTATTTCTATGGCAGATACTAGTGATTGCCCCCTAGTATCACTCTTCTCCCTTTTCCGCAGGAGAACCTCTACATGTCAGTAGAATATGTGACATGTGCAATAAAGCTGGGTATAGCTTTGTAAGATGTAAGTCCTGCAAATACAAGCACCCATTCTTTGTCCCTTCCTAAGAGACAAAGGTATAGTTGTAGCTTTGGTGCCATCCTCATGGTCCAGGATAGCAAAACTACAGGAATATAGGTTACTAAGAGCATCATGAAACCACTACCGTAAACCTGTGGATAACTCACTACCTCCTATTTCTGTGAGAGAAAAAATAAACCTCATTTTTGTTTAAGCCACTGTTATTTGAGGTCTTTGTTACTTAAAAACAAATAATCTGCAATGACAGAATTTAGAAAATTTGTAAGATTCAGAAAAAGATCTAGGGCAGCACTAGCCCCATATGCCAAGGGTGGTGGGTTCAAACCCAGCCCTGGCCATACTGCAACAAAAAATAGAAGGGCGATGTGGCGGGCACCTGTAGTCCCAGCTACTTGGGAGGCTGAGTTAAGAGAATTGCCTATGCCCAACAGCTGGAGGTTGCTGTGAGCTGTGACCCCACAGCACTCTATCAAGGGCAACAAAGTGAAACTCTGTCTCTAAAAAAAAAAGAAAAAAAAA